TAGGCAGTCATTAACCAGGATAGAGAAGACAAAAGGAGGAGCTGGTTCAGGCAGGGAACAGAAGTAGGGCAATTAGTGAAGTCAAGTGCCTGAGCACAAATGAACAGGTAACAGCCACCTGAATTTAAAGACCTGAAGAAAGACCTGAGAGGCACCAAGGCTAAAAAATACAGAAGTGGGAAGAAGCTGTGCAAAGTGGCAGCTAAAGCCGAGGGTTTAGATGAGGTTACTTACTCTATAATTTCCTTCCGAAATTAAATGTACAATTTTATGTCTATGTGCACTTTTTTCTGGAGGGCGAGGGAAGGCATGCACAGCTTTCAGATTCTCAACTGGGTTCAGAACAGTTAAGAACTAAAAGAACAGCAAGAAAAGCGAAAATGCAGCCCCTGGGCATCATAAGCGGTGGGTGTAGGAAGAGGAACATTGATTCTGTATTTTTCAAGTGCAGTCACCTTTTACTGCTAGGACTTTATAAAAAGAAAAAAAAAATGAGTCTCTTGCCAAGGACTGACCATTTCTACAAGTAACTGGCTAGTTCTACAAAAACCTACGAGACATTTCATGTAACTTACCTCATTTTTCTTTTTCTCCTGGATCTGTGTTAGGGTTTTCTTGTTCGAGTGTAGTTTGTCTGCATTAAAATTAATATACAAACCACCCAATTGCTTGATACTGAGACCAGGGTCTATGCTGCTGCTTGTCAATTTTAGACTGAAAGAAAAATGGTCACTTAAAGATCAATTAATTAAAATGGAAACAATTGAGACTTTTTAAAATCATTTTTTTCTTCTCCCATTTAACTGTCAACAAAAAAATCTTATCTTTACAATAGAATTCTGAAAAAGATGAACAAATACATATTTTAAATCTAATAAAGTCATTAAGAAAAGAATTCTGAGATGAATAATGAAACAAAAAATCTTTTGGGGATCATATCCAAGTTCATTCTCCAGATTTTCTTTAAGAGGATTAAGACCACATAATATGCCAACAGATTTCATAAAAGGATTTTTATAAAGAAAAGAAGAGATACATCTGGCAATTCAGCTCAACTTCCTATATAGGTAGTTAATAAATGTACTTACCTCCATCTCTGAAACCAATGAGAAAGACAGGTTCTTCTACTGTGAACTTCCAAGTTATCTAAACTTAGAATATTTTTCTGGGTAACCAAAGGTATTTGGTAGTGCCTCTAAATCAAGTGAGTTTTAAACAGCAATGAGCATCCATATTTCCCATTGGAGCTTTTCAAAAATGTCATACCCGAGATCTCTACCAAACTAGAATCTTCTGCAGTTGGCCTGGGCTCCTGCTATATTTATGAGAATTCCTACTTCATATTACTGAAAACTCCTTTCTATAAGTGTACTTGGAAGTACAGTCACTTTCTTTCCTAATTATTCATGTAAACTAAGCAGCTGAAAGTTTTGTTAATCAACCTCTACTGGAAAGTGAAATCATTCTATTGTAGTGCCTTGGCAGTGATTATGAATGTACATTACAATTATAAGATAGGACTGTGACCTTTAAAAAGTAAGCATGCTGGAGTCTAGCCTCAGAGATTGATTTCATTGGTTTAGAGTGAAGACTGGGCATCTGTTAATTCACAGTTCCTTACCAGGATGCCTGTATATTTCCAGTGGATACACTGTTACCAAGGACTTGTGCTTGGGAAAAACAAATTTATAAGGGAAAAAGTAACTAAAGAAATAGCCCCAAAGATTAACGCTTTTCAAAGGGGGATAAATAGGATTATAGGTGATTATTTTTCTCAGGCTTCTATTTTTCAATTTCTCTACAATCAACATATAGTACTAAAATAAGTTATTTTCCTTCCCTTTTATACTACTCTTGACAATCATGCAGGGACATTCCAACAGATGATTTCTAATTCATCACCAAAAGGAACACTTTTAGCTATCATTGGTGGGAAATATGACTTAAAAAGTCATCCAGAGACAAGAACAATGTTGGTAACAAGAGCTTTCCCATAAAGAACCTGAGGTAAAAATTTTCTCAATTCCCATGCTATTATATTTTATGGTAAATTAGCCACTTGAAAAATGTTACCAAAAACTTTTTAAAAGAAAGGTAAAACTTACAGTTTAGACTTTGTGCCATTAAGTAAGTCATCTTCATCACTAAACTCATCATCTTTATTTTTGTCATGATCTGATGGCTCTTCTTCACTTTTTTCATCCTCTTCCTCCTCTTCTTCCTCAATGGCAACCTCACTGGCTTTGTCTTCCTCATCCAAGTAAAAATTTTTATCAGTGCTCAAACCAGGAGTTGTGTCAATTACAAACAATGCATTGTCACTTAACCTGTTTTCTGAGTCTCCATTTAATGACTCATTTTGACCACTATTTTCAACAAAACACACAGTGTCCTCTTCAATCTCGCTGTTTTCAGACTGCTGGCTTTCATCACTGCTGCTAAGTAATAAAACAGAAGCACCTGTATCCTGAGATTTGGCATCACACTCAAAATCTACATTCCTTTCTTTGTTCATGTTGTCACTGACAGCTATAACAGTGCACTCTTCATCACTACCACCACCATCGCTAGATGTCAAGTCACTTGTTTTTATGGTGCTTTTTCTCTCTTCAGTCCATCTGTCAATTTCCACAACTGCAAATGTTTGAGCTAATGATTTCATTATAGCCTCACAGTTCAGATTTGAGGGCTTTGATGTGGTTTTGTTACTTTGGGGTGTTGAATGCCTTTGAGAAACTAATTGCTGAAGGTTAGTGTCCTGAAGTTCAGAAAGACCTGTCAACTCAGAATTTTTCTCATTAATTTCTTTTCCCTCATCTATTACTCCTTCAGCTTCTTCAGTTAAACTCTTACAATTCTGCTTTCTTTCTTTGAGAGGTGCAACACTGGCCAGTTTTTCCTCCTGGATATTAAAATGTTGGCCTTTTTGCACTGTTAGTTTTTTTCCCGAATTTCCATGGAAAGAATCATCATCAAAATCATTACAGATTTCGTTATTAGAGAAATCTGGCTCATTTATCTGAGAAAGAAATCTTGCTTGTATACAAGATGAAGTTTGTCTGGTATTTGAATTCAGAGGTGTATTTATCATCGGCTTTTCATTTTCTGGTATAATCTTAGTATCTTTCTCCTCTGTTAGTGCTTGTAATTTCCTCTGCATACTCCTTGTTGTTCTCCTAGTTGCAAATCCAGAAAATGTAGAAATATCTGAGCATGATGACTCAGCATCAGAAACAGCTTCCGCATGTGATTCTTGGCTTGGATCTGTTAGGGATTTAGCCTTAATTCTTCTGGTTCTTGTAGTTACTACTGTAAGAGGCACAATTCTAGAAATACCTGAAACATGTGATTCTGCTTCAGAGAGTTCTTCTTCAGTATGAGACTCATTTATTGGAGTTATTTTTAGTTTTTTCCTGACACTGGACACTGGGGTACATGCAACTAAGATTTTCCTTCTCCTAGTTACTCTTAAAATGGGATCTTGGGGCTCAGACACAGAACTACTGGACTCTGCTTCAGAGGTCTCTCCATCAGTAGATAGTTTATTCATTTTTGGTAATGAGCCTGTAGTTCTGCTCTTCCTCTTTCCAGTTTTAGGAGTTCTAGGGACTGGACTTTGTTTCTTAGTACTTTGTGATTCAGCAGTACTGGAGCCATCAGATGGAGATTCTTTCCTGCCTTTCAGATGTGCTTGAATTCTTTTAGCAGAATTCTGTAAGCCAGAGAAAACATACTATTAATTTAGGTAGGGCTGGGACAGGAGCAAAGTGAATGAGACACTCCCCCCAGGAGCAAATTTTAACACAGCACTAAAAAACTCAGTCAACAAGATGAACACAAACCCCACCACCACCACCCATGACTTAAAAAAAAAAACTCAAAATCTTAAAATACTGAATCTGACCCTGTACTTGCAGGGTCCTCCCTCATCACCACTGCCACCACCACCAGCCATGACTGGATTTGCCCCGGCATTTGCAGGGCCTTGCTTCACTTGCCTTACCCAATTCTTGGTTATGATTTTAGCGAGGAAAAAAATTAAAAAATAGTGATTGAAAAGAGAAAATTTTCTTCACTTAAAAAAGTCAAATATGCTAGGTGGACCTACATCATTACTACACACGCATGGGGAAGTGAGGAGAATATTAATTGAGCAAAGATGTGGTTAGGCACACACACTGACAGAATCGGTAGCTCCCGTTACCTTTACACACATTAAGTAAATTAACGTTCCACCCCCTTCATCAAAAAAATCAGAAGCAGTGGACGACCAGCGCCACCGAGCGCCACCAGAAGGCATCACCGCAGACCTTCCCAGGCCAAAAGGAGGTGCTATGGGGCCACCGCCAGTCTCACCACGTGAAAACGGTGCCCTTCCGTCCAAATCAGCTAAATTAAGCTCACACTTAATACGGTGTGAACGGTAAAGTTAAAAGGCTTGAGCTGGGTATCTGCATTACGGAGCTGAACTACCCAAAGCAAGTTACTTAACCTCTCTGTTCCACCCTAAGGACCGCCTTAAAAGACTAGTGAGGACTGAAGAGCAAGCGACAGGTTTACGGCTGGACCTGGTACTCAGCAGCGCGCGGCAAGCTCGGGCTCTTTTCGCCGCTCCTCACGCTCCGCGGAACCTTCGCACCGCCCTATAACCTCCCAGAGCACCGATCCGAAAAGCGTCGAGGAGGAATGAGGGAGCCTTGCTATTTCCTACCTTCTGCCCAGAGCTTTCAGCCGACGTAGCTTGGATACTGGCCTGAGGCCGCGCCGACCGAGTGACCACCATCTTGTCGGCTTGCGGCCACCGCACCCTGCCTCAGTTCCGGCGCCCAGGAAGTGCGTCAGAGAACTGCGTCGGTCGCGCTTTCCGCGAGGCCTCCGCGATTCGCGAGAATTTCGTATGTGCTTCCGCCCTTCTTATGTAGGCCGCGGCCATAATACTGCGTTATCGCCAAGCGTACGGCTTTTAGCATTCACTTCAGTGCGGTAGGAGACGCAGACCAACCTTTTGCAAGGAAGGACGTTAGTGGAGGTGACGAAACTCGTAGGAATGCCCTCGCCCCGTTTCACACGAATTGAGAAGTTGCGTGGCAACCCCACTCCATCTTTGGCAATTTTAAAAGTCTTGATGTATAGCTAGGGGTGTGATGGAAGGAGACGTTTGCATAATAAATTTTTTTTTTTTTTTAACATGTGCTCTTGTGTTACCCGGAAAGTTAAATATAAACAAAATAAAATTTAAAGACTTAGGGTATTATGTTAAATACCCCAGGAACTCAGAGATCTAAAGGTAAGGTGGCGGCTAAGAATTGGGAGTAAGCAGAAAAGAAGAAATATTAAAGAAATTATGAAGGAAAGCGATAATTATTTTATTATTTTTTTTGCAGTTTTAGGATGAAGAGTAGAGAGCTAGAATGTTTGAGGGGAATGGAAAGGGATCGAAAAAGTAGATGGATTAAAGAAATTTGCACGCTGATGTTCATAGCAGCATTATTCACAGTGGCCAGGACATGGAAGCAACCAAAGTGTCCTACGATAGGTGATTGGCTAAAGAAGCTGTGGTACATATATACAATGGAATGTTACTCAGCCATAAGAAGAGATGAAATACTGCCATTTGCGACAACATGGAGGGAACTCGAGGTAATCATGCTAAGTGAAATAAGCCAGACAGAAAAAGTTGAAAATCACATGATATCACTTACATGTGGGATATAAACCTAAAATCAACAAAGGAACAGGACTAACAAACAGAGACTCGTGTACTTGGACTATAGACTAGTGGTTACCAGAGGGTAGGGAGTGGGGGAGAAGGGGAAAGGTAGATGGGGTAAAGGGGGTCAAATATAGGGGGTAAAGGGGAGGGTGGGGTGGGTAAAGGGGATCAAATATATGATAGCCGAAGAAAACAGGACTTTGGGTGGTAAACACAATAGAACATACAGATGATAAATTATAATGTACACCTGAAAATTATATAATTGTATTAACCAATAAACTTAATTAAAAAAGAAAAAGTAGATAGATATTGCTGGAGGTGAGAAAGGATGAGTGCCTCACTACGGGTATTATTTCTTTATAGCAGAAAACCAAATTTTTTAGTCACAAAGTACAGATTTTTTTTTTTTTTTTGACGGGCACACTGCCACCCAACTAAATAGCTTCTTTCATTGTTCCCATTGCAGCCAGATGACGCTAAATTTTGGCCAATTAGATATAAACTGAATGTTCTTTAGTTTTTTAGGAGACATCTTCAAGGAGAGGAGGTCCTCCTTGCCTTCTTTAACTTCATTTTACTCCCTGGAAAGTTGTGCTCTCTGGTGTAATGAGGACGAGGGCCACACTTCATGGATGGCAGAGGAGTGAGAGAAAGAA